AAGAGGTGGTATATTTATACAATGGAATACTATTCAGCCATAAAAACCAACAACATAACACCATTTGCAGCAACATGGATGTTTCTGGAGAATGTCATTCTAAGTGAAGCCAGAAAGAGAAAGAAAAATACCATATGAGATCACTCATATGTGGAATCCAAAAAAAAAAAAAAAGAACATAAATACAAAACAGAAACAGACTCATAGACATAGAATACAAACTTGTGGTTGCTAAGAGAGTAGGGGGTGGGAAGGGATAGACTGGGGTTTCAAAATTTGTAGATACTGACAAGCATATGCAGAATAGATAAACAAGATTATACTGTATAGCACAGGGAAATATATACAAGATCTTGTGGTAGCTCACAGCAAAAAAAAAGTGACAATGAATATATTTATGTTCATGTATAACTGAAAAATTGTGCTCTACACTGGAATTTGACACAACATTGTAAAATGACTATAACTCAATAAAAAATGTTTAAAAATTTTTTAATTTAAAAATTTTAAAAACCAATATGGTTTGCCACTTGCTAGATAAAAGTATTATCAATTAATAATATTTGATTAATTGATTAATGGTTAATGATAATGATCATTGATTAATGAGCATTGATTAAAGCTGGCTGCCTAACTGAAAGCTAAATTTTCAACCAAATGTTCATAGCAAAACTACTTCTTTGTTTCATATCTTTGAGTATAGTCTCAAAAAAAGAGGGGAGACATTGCCACACAAGTTCCGTGTGTGTGTGTAAATTCTTGTATAAATATGACACGATCATTAACCAGCATGAATTCTGAAGCCCACTTCCCTGCCTCAATAATAGTGATGATCTTCCTGGATCAGCTCATAGTGTCCCTCTGAGGCTTCCTTAGCGAACACTCTGGATTTCTGAGATAATTTCCCTCTTGAGCCTGGAGTAGACACCAATTTGGATCATGAGGGCACCCAATCTACAGCCTCAGCCTCATTTGACCACACTTCCATCAACTGAGCCCACTCAAGTGTCCATATTTATTACAAAGTAAGGTTTTAAATTCAGTGATTACTGAGTGACCCTCAAATTGTGGTAAAAGATACAGATTTAAGCCTAAGAAGTTCATCATTGTATATTAGGAGTCACACTAAAGTCATGTTGGCTTATGAACTCCAGTGGTTCTTTAAAATATATTTTAATCTAGTTGTGGTCATTGCCTTTCTAAGAATGTGATACAATCTACTTCCCTTTGAACGCCTTAATGCCTACACAGTTGCAAGTTGTGAATACGTCTCAGAGTATTTTAATTTTACCTCCTCAGAACCATAGTACAGGGTTGTAAACAGCAGATGCTCAATAAATTAAAAGAGAAATTGCATCCTAAAATGCATAAATTCACAGGGTTGGTACACTCTGTGGTGAAATAAGTCTTATCTTTGTACTTTATTATTTACATAAATATCTAGGAACCCTCCCTACTACTTCATTGCAGGTACTGTTCTGGAGGCGGGGCCAACAATAAAGGCGTGGTCTCTGTTTATTGGAAATATTCAAATATACAAATCCCCCAAACACCTGCATGCTGTCATAAGCACTATATAGGAAACGAAGGAGGTACCCAGAGACTAACAGGTGACAGTTTACTTATGACAAAGTGGTCAAGAATGATCTCTGTGAGGAGACGACCTTTGAGCTGAGATTTCCAGTTTGCAAAGGAACTAACCATTTAAAGAGAGGAAGGAACAGTCCAGAGGCTGGGAACTTCTGAAAAGGCCTTAGGGACTGAAACTGTGTTCCAGTTTCATGTGTCCCAGGTACTAAAAGAGCAGGGAGACCAGAGCATGTAAATGAGAGGAGATGCACTCAGGGACGTGGCAGAGAAGGACCAGAGAGTGTGCTGTATGCTAACAGAAGGAATTTGTGTTTCTACATTTACTCCTTTTTTCTATGTAGTTCTGAGCCAGTGAATGTTCTTAACGTAAGGCATGATGGCATTGCTTTTTATGAGAGTGAATTACAAGGGAGCAGACTATGGAAACAGACTAATGTGAAGGCTGTAGAAGGAATCCAGGAAAATTATGATGATGCCACTAATTTGGTGGTAGAGTAGATACAGAAAGCAGGGTGGAAGAGGTACATCTGAGAAGTATAATTGAATAGAGATGCATTTGGGAGGTAAGATCGAGAGATCTAAATATGGACTGGTTAGGGATGAAATGCCATGATGAGGAAAAGAAAGCAATCAACACCGGTGGATGGTACAACCATTAGTTCAGGTGATGGAGCCTGGGGAAAAAGATCTGAGACAGAGTTTTAGGGGAAATCATAGATTATTACCATTATGATATTTAGAATGACCTATTCACATTAACAAACTTTAAATTCCTTTACAAGGTTTGAAAAATACCATATAATTCCTCCTAGCACTTCACATTTCTTCACATATCTAACAGCAATGATATTAGATAAAGATTCTATTTTTTTCCTTGCCACAGAGAAAGTTGGTTGGTCACATTAAATAAGGTGACTAGAACCCCACTGATTTCACCTCTGAGTTTCTTACTTTTTCTTTGCTGCCAAAGTCACCTGGGCAACAGGTAGCAAAAACACAGAAGCACCAGGGCTCCCATGATTATCTCCTGGTCCTAAGAGACACAAGGCGGCAGGAGGATACTCTTGGCAGAGAGCCAGACCTGACTCATCTTTCTTCTGTAGAAGCATCAGGTACCCTGTAAGCCCTGCCCTGCACCACAGGAATTATGGCAAATTGTATGCCCAGCTTTTATAAAAATACATCGCCATGTCCCACGATTGCACAAAGGTTCACTTTTTAAAAGGAACCTCTAAAATAGGCACTTTAAACAACTGCAAAACAAACACCTACCATAAGCAAAACTACTGTCAGTTGCTAATAGAGGACACATCCTCCATTACATCAAATGTCATATTCTGTCTAGCATTTGGTTGTGAACAAGCTATTCTAGCAATCATGATTATTCCATACACAGGGATAAGATAAGACTAGCTTTCAAATAATTAATAAAATTTGTTAAACATCCTACTTAACAGTTTCTAAAAAAGTGATTCTAGTTTAAATTTTTTTAAATGACAGAAAAATAATTTGAAGACTTTTCAATAAAATGGACTATTTAATAATTGGATTTAGTTTGCAGATAGGCTTTACTGATATTAAAGCAAAAGTCATGAAAAAATATTTTTAAATACTGACAGAAAGACAGACAATATCGTTCTCCTGCCCACGGAGAAACAGAAAAGAATATAATTGTGTGTCTGAAAAAAACTGAACCTTCTAACATTAACTTCACACTCAGCAAGTGAAAATCCATCATTCTTTTAAAAGCTTACGTTGATTTGATCTTTATTTTATTGAAGTGAGCTTCTTAAAAACTCTAAGCTTCTCTCACATAAAAATTGCTCTTAGCTTCTGAGATATAAATTACTTCGAACGCTGCAACTGTAACAAACAAACAAACAAACAAACAAACAAAAGCACTAAAATAATGAGAAATATGTTTGCTATAATCACAGAAGTTGGCATTCAAGTTTCTAGTTTGGTAATTTTGCTTTAATCTTTCAATTGTTTTTAACACAAGTAAGGAAAACAATACTTTTTTTCTCTAAAATTAAATGACAGTTTCAGATGAAGCCGATAAAGTTAAAATGATTTTTAATCTTATCTGAATTTCACTATAAAATGATTATTCGTTTGGAAAAAATAAACTGCTAAGCTTTATTTTAGAGAAATGCGGCCAAGCAGCCGGGTCAGTTATCTATGTTCGTGTGCTCGGAAGGGGTGCGGCGCGCCCTCGCAGTCCCCACAGGTAGTGTCAGCTTTGTTGGTTCTGCACGGTCGCTCACCTTTGCAGATGGGAAATAATACACATGCTTTTTGCTCATAAAGAATACGACCTGCCCTCGGAACCCAGACTCATCCAACGACTCTGCCAGCGCAGACAGAAACAAATAATAGTAAACCATTAGGTACAGCTGCCCCTCCTTTCCACATTTTCACAAAGTGGCAGCAAACCCACACGGTTAAAACCAGCAATGGGTCGGCCTTGCAATGGAAACAGCTGCCTTTCCAGCTCCTCTTGCTCGCTGGCACCTCCTCGCCCAGCTTCTCCCCTCTCTGCTTTCCAGGTGGCGGAACACCAGGTGGCTAAAACCAAGAGACGCGAAAAGCGACACAGGTGGGTGTGGCGGCTGAGGCGAGAGACTGGCGGCTTCCCTTCCCGCTACACTGAAGGAGCAAGAGAAAAGGCACTTACTTGCAACCTTGCCCGCGGATCATGCCCACCTTGTGCGCCCGCAGAGTATGGCCTCGGGGAGGACGCGGGCTTCGGGGACCCTTCCTCGCTCCCGGCTTCTCCCCCCCAGCGTTCTCTCTGCTGCTGCTGCTGCTGCCGCTCTCCGTTTCTTTGGGCTCCTGTTGCTCCGCGGGCGCCTGGCACTACCCGCCGCTGGCACCCAAGCTAGCCCAGCCCCAGCCGGCGGAGCCCGCGGAATTGGAAACCAGACGCCCGCCGCGGGAGCGCCGGCGACGGCCTGCGGGAAACTGCGCCCCTCCTTCCGGGGCGCGCCCTGGGAAGCGGCAGCCCCGCCCCCGCTCCCCGCCCCTCCCCTCCCCGCCCTTTCCCCACCCTCGCTCCCGGCTGCCCTCCCCTCCCGCAGGGGGCGCCGGGCGGGGACCCAGCCAGGGGCGCGGTGTTGGAGGTGCTGCAGCCTCTCCACTGTGCACTAGTAGGAGGCAGAGGAGGCGGGGTCACACGACCGCCCACCCTCACCCACCCCATTGAGTGGGCCGTGTGTGTGTGTGTGTGTGTGTGTGTGTGTGTGTGTGTC